AAATTACTTGCTCTAGGTGATTAACACTGAATTCAAATTTGCTTTTTTTTTTTTTTTTTTACAAAAGAAATTAATTGTTTTAAAATCATTTGCTTGACTCATGTAAACAATCAAAAATAACGTATATTTTTAGATGAAATTAATCCTAATTCGAATTCACAAAATCTCGCCAACCGTCCATTTCTAGAAGCCATTATAAATAGTCTTCAGTGTCAGGAAAACGATTATTCGGCCTTGTTTGCTCTTTGTCTATTGTATGCAATGTGTAATAATAGTGGAGTCAGCAAAGAAACATTAAAAAAAGTTTTCTTTTTATCGGAAAATAACGATAACAATAATTGGATTAGAACGACATTTATTGAAAAACTAATTAAAATTATTACTAGTAGTTGCCAAAGCGACAGCAAAATTAGAATATGTACTTTGGAATTGGGTTTAAAATTACTTTTACAATTGTCTATTGTTAGCAATTCAACAGTTTTAAGTGATGCTCACTTGGCTGCAATTGTTGGTAAGTATCCTTTTTTTTTTTTTTTCTCTCATAAAAATGGCTACGTGTTACATTGCATTGATAAAATTTAAATATAAATATATTATTTTTAGGGGCTAAAGAGGAAAGTACCTCACTTTTAAGAAGTTTTTACAAAAGCGAAGACATTTTTTTAGACATGTTCGAAGATGAATACAATGAATTGAAAAAAAAACCTCTTAACGTTGAGTTTTTATTAATGGATTCCAACATACTTTTACCACCTACTGGAACTCCGTTAACCGGTATTGAATTTAGTAAAAGACTTCCTTGCGGAGAGGTTAATATACATTTATTTTATTTTATTAAATTAAATTAAATATTAAATGAAACATACATTTTACTATTATTATTATTTTTTTTTCAAGGTCGAAAAAACTCGTCGTGCCATGAGAGTGTTTTTTCTTATAAGGCAATTATGTTTATCTTTAGAAATAGAAAAAGATAATAATATTTTACCCTTGAATCCGCAGTCTTGTGTCGACATAGATTCGGTGTTAGATTTAAGTAAGCCATCTTTTTTTTTTTTTTTTTTTTTTTTTTTTTTTTAATGCATATAAAAAAGATAATTAATTTAAAAAAAAAAAAAAAATATTTTTCTAAAATTTAAAATGAACTTAATTGTATTTTTTTTCAATTTTAAATTTTAGATAATTCCGATCTTGTTGCTTGCTCCGTAATTTTAAAAGAAGGAGGAAAATTAAAAAGATTTTTAGTTATAGAGTCTATTCAATTTATTTTAGTAGAGCCAGATATAGAAAAAATTGGATGGGGGGTAGCTAAATTCGTAGGATTTTTACAAGATATTGAAGTTGTAGGAGATAAAGATGATCCTAGATGTTTGCACATCACCGTTCACAGGTACTCAATTGAATCGTGAATAATCATTTTGTGTGGAGTATTATTTTTTAAATTTGAGAACGCCTGAATCTTTTTCCTTTTCTTTTATTTTCAGACCGTCTTTTTCAAGTGGTAATAGCAGAGTTCCACTTTTATCTGCAAAATTTATTTTTGATGATCAAATTAGATGCATGGCCGCAAATCAAGCATTAAGCAAGGGAAGAATGAAAGCCAGGCAAAAAAAAATGCATTCAATTGCCAGATTATTAGATATTCCTTTAAGTGGTCAATCGACGCCTTCTTCATCAGTATTTAATATGATTAGATCTAGAGATGGTAAATTTTTTTTTTTTTTTTTTTTTTTTCAAAAAAATTGTAATTTTTGATAAATTTATAAAAATTTATTTTGGTTATTTTTTTAGGATCTGCAAGTAAATCAAGTAGAGAACACAGATCATTGTTTTCTTCTTCTCATCATCGAGTTCCTGGCTACGCAGCTTTAAGAAGAGACGTTCCCGGGAAAACAGTTCTTCAATCCGAAATTCAAAGTACAAAATATTAAATATTAAGCTTATATTATTGAATCGTTTTAAAATTTTAAAATTAATCATTTTTAATATTAAAAAAAATTTTTTAGACGAAAGGATTAATACTAGGGCTACGAGTTCTGCTGTTTCCCTTGAAAATAAATCTTCCAGTTCGTTAAGATCAAGAGATACGTCTTCTTCCAGAGTGCACGCTAGTACGGGAGCAAGATCAAGGGATTATTCAACGGGATCTAGATCTCATTCGAGGCAGAGGGAATCCGGAGGAAGTCCAAGACGTAATAGTGGCAGTCCTCGGTTGCCTCGGCCGCGAAGCGAGGAAATCCCTTTAGAAGACATGAAATTAAAGGTTTTTATCATAAAAATTTACACTCGAATTTTTTTTAAAATCAAGATCTAAATACAGTTTTTTTTTTTTTTTTTTTTTTTTTGCAACAGCAAAAACGTGAAAATATATTAATATCAAATGCTTCTCATGGGAAATTTCAAACACCGCCTTTAACTCCCCCCATACCCACAATGCCTAGTCAACCGGTTGTTGTTGTTCCCGTAGAAGTGCCAATTAAAATTAGTACGGAAAAAAAAGAAGAAACTAGCTTTACCGAACAAAATGGAGATTTGTGTACCGGAGTTAATGGTAAAATATTAAAATGAAGTAGTTTAATGATAAAAAAAAAGCGGGATTAACATATTTTTATTATATTTTTATTATTATTTTTTAAAGATCGTTCTTCTTCAAAAGACAATGATAGAAATTTTCCGGTGACGGAGAGTAGAGAAGCGATATCACTTAATCATTCATCTTCAAACAAATCAGTAAGGCGTAAAGGACAAGTGGAAACAGTTTAGGTTCTTTTTTTTTTTTTTTTCAATAAATTCAAGTAAGTGATGACATTAATTACATTTTATTTAGTATTCGGTTATGTGTAGAATTTTCGAACTTTTGTTCATCTTTTTAAAAACTTTAAAATTTCTGCATATTGAGCTAGTATTTAAAGAATTTTGAAATCGCTATTAAACGATATTACGGTAACTAATGTTAAAAAAAAATTATTTTAATTTTCGTTAAACGACAAGGATAGTTCTCGTAACTGTCCGTTGTAAAAATTTGATTTTTTATATCTTTTTTTCGTTTTGGGAGATAGTAATGCCGGATGTACATTAACAGCTTTTAATTTTTTGTCTTTCGATAATTTTTTCTTGCCGTAAGATTCGTCTATGGGTTGAGAGTTCGTTTTGCGTTTTTTACAAGAAATTATTATTTCATTTTTTCCATTTGTAATTTTCCGTCCTTTTTGTTTTTCGAACGTTCCTTCATCTTTGGAAATTTTTTTTGTTGCAGCGTGTGAGTGACGATTTCTTAAAAAATCGTAAAGTCCCGATGAAAATTTTTCCGGAGAATACAAATCTAAAATTTTTATTTGGCTCAATGAATTTTTCACATTACGGTCACATATTTCGTATTCTTCATCGCAATCGTCGTACGAGGTTCGCGCCAAATAACGTAAACTAATAGGGAAATATAATTCTTCGGGAGCAACACAATTCAACAGTAATAAATTACCATCTGTAAAAATTAATTAAACAAAAATGCACTTAATTAAATTATTTGTAATAAATTTATTCTGTCAAAAAATGATTTTAAAAAAATCCTCAGTAAATCACTGAATCAATCAAGTTTTTTTTTTTGGAAATATTACCCGATGTTATAAAATAATAAACGGTGAGACCAAATTTTTCAAAATAAAATTTATCTTGCGTCAAAAGTCCTTGTTCCGCGTCAGACAAATTTTTGCAAAGAACCATAAACATTTTTTCATTTAAATTTAATTCGGTCCAATTTAATAAATAATTTTTAGTTGGAAAAACTCTTTGAGAATTGCCAAAAACAAATGTCGGACATAAACCAGACAGTGGAATTTTAAATAGTATTTCAAGATTAACAATTGAGTAATAACTACTAATATCTATAAAAAAATATCGTAAAACATGATTTGAATTTATAAATATTTCTTTGTTTTATATCTATCATCTAAAAAAAAAAAAAAATTGTTTTTCTTTTGTTTATTTTACCAGTAAGTGAATTATCTGAAAATATTTTCAACATTAAATCATTTGAAAATTTAAAACCGTTTTGAACAAGTGAAGGATTAAAAATACAATCATCTAAATTGCATTTAATTATCAAATTTTTTTCTTTCGATATCGTTATCAGTAAATTTTCTTGATCATGTTCCAATTTAAAAAAAAAATCCTGTAAGATGATACCCATTAAAACAAAAAAAAATTACAGAACAAAGAAAAAAATTAATTTAAATTTTACTGTTTTAATTGAGAATCTAGTTTAATATGTAAAAAAAAAAAAAAAAAATGATATGTAATTTATTTAAATATGAGAAATATGTAAATATTTTTTTAATTAACAAAATTACATTCATTTACTTATTATTTAAAATTTCTTAATTTTATTTTATTACAACAGACAATCATGTTTTTAATATTAATTAAAAAATTTTTTTTACCTTGAAAATAAAATTCAAATCCATAACATTTTCTTGACACAAAATAGTTTCAAAATTTAAACTTTTAATCATTTTTGTTTTTCCTGCATCATTTGTAATTTGAATTATCGTGAATTTTGTTTTTTCTATTAATCCTTCGAATTCGATTTTTTTCAATAATTTTTTAAGGGTGTCTTTAATTATCAAGTCAATTATCGATGCTGAAATTAACAAAATTTACAACTATTATTGAAATTTATTTATTTCTACTATGTGAAACATTAACAGTGAATTCAAAGCTACAAAATTAACCTTTAATTTATTTTTAATAATTATTTTTACCTGTTTTTTTCGTGACGATTGCTAAATGGATTTTATAACTTATTTGTTGCAAAGAAGTTGATGCTTCATTGCTATCTTTTATCTTTAACAACAAATTTTCCATAGATTCTTTCAATGAATTTTGATATTCTTGCACAGTTAGTTTAACATTATCGGGATTCTAGTAATGAAATTTTAAAATTAAATTTTTTTTTTAACTTTGTAAAATATCATAATTATTAAGTTTATTCAAAAAATTACCTTAGAATATAATGAATTTAATGATTCTATAATTTCATTATAATAGGTGTAAAAACAATTTGAATACGTTATTACTTTACAAATGGAATTTACTATTGATATTCCAAATGCCCGAAGGCGCGGATTAACGGAGTAAATGTTCATTAAAGCAATAACATTTTGCAATGATAATTTAATTACTTCTGTTGTATTTTTATCCATCGGATAGCCAAAATCCAAAATTAAAAGCTTTTTAAAATTTTGAGCCGGCATTTTATTTAAATTGTTACTTAATAAAACTCGACGTTCGTTAAAGAATAAAGTTTTAAGAAATTTACTCGTTTGACGCAATTTTACAGTCGGGGCATTAGAATTTGATGAACAAGTATTTCGAAGTTGACACACTATGACATAAAATTTATTCTGTTTTTAATTATTTAACCACAAATTTCGAAATTTCAATTTTAATTCTCTTTTTTTTTTGTAAGATGTATAAGAAATTAAGTTTTTTTTAAAAAAAAACAAATAAGCTTTTTACAATTATGTTATATTAATTATCAACGTACAATGAAGCATGTAGCATTTAAAATTTTAGGTACAAATTGTATAGTGGAAAATGCTTATATCTTTAAATTTTAAATTTATTTCATCTTTTACTTTTCGATTAAAAAATTCCTATTCTTTATTACGTTTTTCAAAAAGCTCTGTGAATAATTATGGGTCTTATAAAAACGTCGTATTACCACCAGAACCGCAAAATTGTTGCATGTCTGGATGTGCCAATTGTGTTTGGGTAGCTTATGCAGAAGAAGTAGCTAAAATTTTAAATGATGGAGGTATAAAAGCAAAAGAAAAAATTTTTGAAAATGTCAAGGATCCAAATTTAAGGACGTTTCTAATGCTGGAATTAAGTCACATTTTTAAAAAATAATAATCGCTAATATCAAGTTTGGCATAAATAAATTTATTCTTAAACTGCGACAAAATTTGACAATATTTTCTTTTTAAAATAAGCTTTTATAAAAAAACACTTGAAACAGTTTATGTTACTAACAACTAATTATGTTTTTAATATTTTATTTAAATCTTACGACAAATACAAAAATTTTCAGAAATTTTTTGTTAAGGTTGTCATAATTTAGATCTATGAACCTTGAATTAGAAAATCGGTAAAATCTTAGATTGTTTTTATATAATATTTAGTTTTCATAATTAGATAACACATAAGTTGTACAGTACTTGATAAAAATAAAAGACCAGTGGTACAATGTCATTTCGAATATTTTATTATACCAGTCCTTCATTAAAATAATAATAAGCTATCCAATTTTTTCATGTTATTTTAAACAAGACACTTAATATTGTTTTACATCTTCTTATCCAGAGCAACCTCTGCATCCACAGTGTACACATTCAACTATTCGTCCCTAAACAAAATAAAACATAATTCATTAATTATTTTAAAAGAAGAAGATTTTCGGTGATATTTTCATAATGATCCATAATTGTTTATATACTTTACAGAGAAATTAAAAAAAAATATTAAGAATTTGAAATATTTATAAATGTATTTATAAGACTTACTTCTTCTAATTTAACTTTAGGCACTCTACAAATGCAATTGGTTCCAAAATTTGTGTCACGAGTTTGAATACATCTTAAACAACACAAATTTTCATATCCTTGTTTTTTCCATTTAGCAATTAAATTTTTATCAGCGATATTTTCATTTAAACAAAATTCATATAATTCTGAAAATTATAAATTACATTAATATTTAGGTTTAAGTTTTATTAAGGAAAAAGTAATTATTGAATTTTTTCTATACCTTTACTAATTGCTTTCCTCCTGTAAAATAAATCATATATATACCTAGATTTCTGATGGTGTATTTTAAAAATCGGCCATAATGCTTCAGTTTTTCTTTTTCCTTCATGTGGTTGAGTTTCAGCTAAAGTAAAATATTTCAAAAAAAAAAAAGAAAAAATTAATAATGTTTCTAAATAAAACATTTAATAAATTACAATAATATACGGACTATAGAATTTTAACTAACCTTCTCTCATTTTTTGTTCCAGTTCTTCCAGTGTTGGTTCAATTAATTCCCATCCTTCGGGTGGAGGTTTTTTACTTCTTCGGACTTTAGGCATTTTTAAAAGTTATGTAATTGTTTTGCAAAAAATCAATTATAACGAATCAAAATACAAAAGATTCCATTAAGTCACAAGGAGTAACAAAACTACGTCATTTGCCGTGGAACTAGAATTTTTATCTATGCTATGGAACATAACGAATTTTTCGCGTTTTGTAATTACCTGGGTTTAATTTTTATTTACGGTGTATAATTTATATTATAATAAATAATGATGTAATTATATAATAGTAATAATAATAATATTAATGAAAACTTATATTTGTGTGCAAAATCAAAATTACTTTTAAATAAATAATGTGCCCGTATATTAGAACACATAAAAATTAAAACTGGTGTATTTGTTAGTGATATGAAAATTATCCAAAATTGTTCTGAGGTAAGTTAATTTCAATACTCCAAATTAACAATTTAAAAAATTTATAATAATAAAATAAAAAAAAAATGAATCTCATAACATTTCGTTCGGTATAAAAATTATTAAAGGGTTTCAAAAAAACGATAGATATGATAGAATATGAGAAAAAAAATGTAATCATTTTTTGTAATATAAGTAGAAACATAATTTTTTATGTTAAAGAAAAAAAAAGCTTTAAAAATTTCAATTTAATTTTAAGCCATAAAAAGAAAATGAAAAAAAAAAAGAAAAAAAAAATTAAATTTTTATAAATTTGAAACCGTAAAATAGAACACGATATATATATACCTATATAAATTAAACTAACGAGATATTTTAATTTTTAATGATAAGAAAATGTTCTACTTAAATCGACTCATTGACGTAAAATTTTATTTTTTTTTAGTACATTTCATCGATAGAAAGTCTATTAAAAATTTAAAAAATGATTTCTTTCCTTTTTTTTTTTTTGGTTTTTGGTTTTTCCCAGAAGAAAAATTTATTATTACTTTTTTGAGGTTAATATAATTACAATTTTCCAATTATTTTTTTTTTTTTAACAATGAAATAATTATTATTATTTTCATTCGTTTTGTATTTCTAAGAATTTTAATCAATTTAAATTTTATAATTTAATTGTAATTTTCAACAGAATAATTTTTATTGTCAAAAAAAAAATTTATTCAATAGTTTGACAATATATTATTAAAAAAAAAAGAAAGTTTATCTGTTATTCTGATTTGATTTTTTTTGGGGTAAAAAGTAAAAATTTCCATTTCTTTTCTTTTTTTTCTGGCTTATAAAAATAAAAAAAAAAAAAATTATCAATAACAATGTGGTAGTAACTTAAGCTTTCCTTTAGTCCTTTTTTTTTTTTTTTAACCTTATTAAGGTTAAAAGCATTCTGGGATGTTACTTAATTTACATTTTAAATTTTATCTCAATTTTAAAAACCTGCAAACGTTTTTTAAAAAAAAAAAAAATTCCTTTTTTTTTTTTTTCCTTGTCAGTACAAATTTAATCCTTTTTAAATCAACCTTAATCTTTGGTTAATCAATTTTTTTCCACTGGAATAAATTTTAAAACTTTTTTTTTTTTTTTTCTATTCTTTGTTCTTAATAATTAGTTATTATTCAAAAAAAATTCAATTTCTTTTTTTTTTTTTTATTAAATAAAATAAATTTATTAAAAATTATATACATATATTTTTCAGATTATTTTTTTTTCAAAAAAAAAAATTCATTTAATTCAAGTAATTCTTTTTTCTATTTTTTTTAACGTTCAAAGAATATTAAAATGGGTTTAGTAAGAAAAAAATAATAATTTCATTAATTTATTATTATTATTATTTTGTAGAAACATTCAAAATATAAATAAATAAAGAAATAAATAATATTTTCGAATTAAATAATAAATAATCTTTATTATTATTATGTTTATGCTCTTTCTCTCCAATTTTATTTAATTGAAACAACATACGTTTTTTATTAATTATTTTATTAAAGTCCGATTAAATAATTTATAAAATTATTATTATTATTATTTAACGTCGTATTATATATTCTTTTAATAATGATTATGTTTAAAGTTAATTTTAAGGTGGAATAAAGGTGTAATTTATGGTTCATTATTTTTTTTTCATGGTGGTTGAGGTTTAGATTTTGTCTCAAGAGATACCGAATTGACACCTGCTACACCTCCTCAAAAAAGGATAATTTATTATTTGTATCCCTGTTTTCCATATAAGAAAATAATGAATTTTTTGTTTTTCCTTAATAATTTTCACACGTTTTTCTTTTGCTTGTTTTTAAATAAATTCTCAAAAAAAAAGAAAAACATTTTCATGATTCTTTTTAAATCAGTTTAATTTTAAATGAAAATACGTCAATAATGACGTCATAATCTATAATAATTTTCATAAGTAAAATAAAAAATTTAAAAAAAAAAAGAAAAGGCATTATTGGACGAATTTTAAAATAGAAATACTTTGTAAAAAAAAAATAGTAATAATAATAATGATATGACTGAATAAATTTCAATTTGGCTAAAGACTTTAAATTTTTTTTTTTTTTTTTTTTTTTCCATTTCAAAATAAATTAAAATAAATAAATTTTGTTAATGTTGAATTTTAAATTGAAATTTTATCTAACTTTTAGGTGATATATTATTATTATTTTTTTTTTTTCGACAGAAAATATTTTCTTAAATTAATATTGATTTGAATACTAATTTAAATAATAATAATAATAATATTTTTTTTTCTTATTGAATATAAAATGTTATAAAATTTTAGCTTTTTTTTTTTTTTTGTTAGCAATAAATTAAATTTAAATTTTAACGTTTTTTGATATGTAAATATTATCTTAACACGAATAAAATCACACGAGAGAGATTTTTGAATACGTCAATGAATGTGCGTGCGTGTGTGCGTGAGATTTTTATGTTTACGTATTGTATTAAAGGAAAAGTTATTTTTTGATTTGCATTTCATCCGATTTGGGTTTTAAAAAAAGTCAAAAAAAAAGAAACAAACGAAAGCAAAGGAAAATAAATTTGTTATCTGAATATTTAATATTATCTGTAATGCGTGTGAATTGATAAAAGGTTAAACAAAGAAAATACATAATAATACTATCGATCGCGTGTATTTTAAAACAAAAGAATTTATTTATAATTTATGTGTAAAAGTTTTTTAAAAAAAAAAAAATTTTTTTTTTTATAAAAGTGACGACGACCTATAACAAATTTTTAAAACGAAATTAATTTTTTTTTTTTTTTTTTTCCGGGGGGGAAATTTTAGGTGATTAAAACAATACCCAACACGAATTGGATGGTTTCTTCGTAATTGTTTTATGTTACCCAAAGGATCAATTAAAAAACAAAAGAAAATGGCGATAGGAAAACTTGTGGATAAATCGACGAGGTAAGAAAAAAAAAGGTTTTTATATTTTCCTTTTTTTTTAAAAAATTATTTTAACATTTTTTGAACCTTTTTTTTTTAAAAAAAGGTTGTTACACTGATAACGAGTGATAAGTATACATCGTGGCACATTTTCCAAAAATCTTATTTTTATTATCATCACAAATTTAAATTTAAATAATAATTTGATTGAAAAAATAATTTTTTTAAAATAATAATAATAATAATTTATTATCTCTCGTTTTAAAATTTTATTTTGGTTTTATTATTCGCATGCATTATTATTATTACATTTTTATTATTGAATTTTTCTTTTTTTTTTTGTTTAATAAAATGGAAAACAACCATACAATTAATGAAACAAAAAAAAAAAATTCATTTACATATTATCTTTCCTCCCCCCCCCCCAAAAGAAAAAAAAAAACGAGAAATTGTTTTTAGAAAATTTAAACAAATTTATCCTACCCCCAACCCCCTCAAACCCCCCTCACCCATTTCAAACCCATTTCATTTTCTTTTTCATTTAATAAAATTTGTATAGTTTTTTTTTTATATATATAAAACGTATTGGTTTTGTTTTTTTTTTTTTTTTTTTTTCTATTGAATGAAATAAATTTTCTTTTTAAAAACGCCTTTTTTAAATTCCGATTCGAATCAATTAACATTATCTGATTTCGTCTGATTTGTTTTTATATATTAAAAAAAATTACTTTTTTATTTTATTTATTAATTTATTTAATTATTTAATAATTATTTATTTATTTTTTTTTTTTTACGATTTAAAAATCATCAAATCGTAACATAAATTTTATAAAAAAATTAAAAGTTTTTCTTTATTATTTTTTAACGGTTTTAATTTTAAATTTTTCAAAATCTTATAACAAAAAAAAAAAGATTACGAAAATATTTTTATTTATTTAAATTAATATTATTATTATTATTATAAATCGTCTAATTTTTATATTACATTAAAATTAGTTGTTAATTCAAAAGGAAAATTTCATAAATTAATTTTTTTGGGTAAATGGCGTCGGTTTTATTAAAAAAAAAAAAATTTCAACGATTATTTTATTTAGTAAATATAAATTAATAACGTTTACAAAAAAATAATAATTTCAAGTGGTTGATTATTAATTAATTTTTTTTTAAATAAATTATTTAATTAATTAATTATTCATTATTTTATTTTTACGGGACTTTAATAAAAAATAATAATTTTTTGTTTGCTATTTCCAACGAATGCTTGTTTGTTGTTTGTACTTGAAACTTTCGTCATTACGTCATTATTATTTTTAATAATTGTCATCCTTTAGAGAATCGTTTTATCATTATTATTATTATTATTATTATTATTTTTTAATTAATATCCTTATTATAATTTTATTTAATTCTATATATGTTTTAATTAAAAAAAA